GGGGAAGAAAGGAAGTGAAAAGACCTTGGCTGTTGGACTCTCAGATCTGGAATAGGCTGTATAGATGATCTCTTTGTTTATAATCTCTAATTGCCGAGGAACCCGAAGTTCAGAGTTAACCAGTGACTGACTCAGGACATGCAGAATGGCAAGACCCGAGGTAGAAGAGCTCATCTTTCCTGACTCTCAGTTTCCTGTTCCCTGAAAATGTCAGCTAGGGCAGCCCTGGTGAGTCCGGGAGAAAAAGGAGGCGTAGCCCTCCGCGTTCAGGAGGTCCAGGGCCCAAGAGAGAGAAAATGGGGGACAAGGACGAGGGGAAAAGTGGAGAAGAGAAACCGAAATAGGGTGTGTCCCAAGTAAATGTACGTCGAGCCCGCCAAGCACATTCTCCCCTAGGGACACTTGCGCCTACTGTTTGCCTTTCCTGGAATGCTCACTCAGGTGTCTGCACCAGCTCAAGTCTCTGCTCAAAAGTGACCTCTTCGGATAAAACTTCTCTGACCATCGTATCCAAGGTGGTAATTATTCCACCAATTTTTGGTTTAAGTTTATATACCAAAGCACTTATCACCACCTGGCATATGAATCTAGGAGTTCTTAACCAGAAGTGTGATTCATGAGTGGGCTTCAGGAAATCTGTGAACTTCCTGAAATATTATGTAAAATTTAGTGGTCATATGTGCCATCTGAACATCTGTCTAAGGGGAGACTGCAGATGGTTGTCTCTAGCGCAATGGTTTGTAATTTTTTCTTTAACTATGGACTGCTTTGAGAATCCGCATTGTTCTACAAAGAGCCATCTAGAAACTGAGGAAATTCCAGGTTAGACTAAGCACTTGGATTTTAAAATACTTTATTCTGGTCAACCTCTCCAGATTCCTGGGTAAGGAGACAGCAACCAGTGATCCTGTGAAATATACCGTAGGCTTATCAGAAAACTACCTAGTTTGGGGAGGGCGGGTTCTTCTAGGCTTGGTAATCCTTCCATTGCTTTGTTTTTTCGGGAAAAGTATGTGTTTCTGGGATAGACAAAAAGGCCTGTGATGAGTAGGGATGTAGGAGTTGCTTATTACTAGGCTTGAAATCTTGGCTGTTTCCACTGTATCCTACCCCTACTGTTTACTAAAGTGTTGCCTACCAAATTGAATTGGAAGAGAGAAAAAACCCTTGAATTTCATCAGAGAAGCTTAGTAGTAATACTACACTGTCATATTTCTTGGCCTCATCCTATGTTCACTTAACACAATTTGCTAATACTTGATTCTGGGACCAATATAGATACTAACATACTTTCCTTATTCAGATCAACAGATCCTGACTGTCATCAGCAACCTGCTAACTGCTGTATAACACTGCCAATTATATAATTTAAAATCTCTAAGTTAAACACTGCCTCATGTTCTCAGTTCTAGTTTCAAGGTTGCATGGTGTAATTAAAACAACACTGACCTTTTTTTTTTTTTTTTCAGTGATGGGGTCTTACTATATTGCCCAAGCTTGTCTCAAATTCCTGGGCTCAAGACCTCCTCTCACCTTGGCCTCCAAAAGTGCTGGGATTACAGGCATGAGTCACTGTGCCCGGCTGAAAGAACACTGATTTTTAACACCTAGAATAGTAGATCCCATTCCCAGTTTTATCAGTCATTAGTTGTGACCTGGACAAGCTTCTATACCTGTCTAACAGGGTAAATAAAACCTACCCTGGTACCTCAAAAGATTATTATGAGAATTGGGTGACGTAATGGATGCAAAGATGCTTTGTCACCTGCAAAGTGCCATATGTAGGTCCATGCAGTACTATTCAAATACCACCGAAGTATCAAAATCTTAGAATGTTAGAGCTGGAAGAGATTTCAGGAGCTCAGCAAGCCCCATTATTTTAAAGAGGAAGAGGTCGGGCGTGGTGGCTCATGCCTATAATCTCAGCACTTTAGGAGGTCGAGGCAGGCAGATCACTTGAGGTTAGGAGTTCAAGACCAGCTTGGCCAACATAGTGAAACCCAGCCTCTACTAAAAATACAAAAATTAACCAGGTGTGGTGGCATGCACCTGTGATCCTAGCTACTCGGGAGGCTGAGGCACAAGAATCACTCGAACCTGGGAAACGGAGGTTGCAGTGAGCCGAGATTGTGCCACTGTACTCCAGCCTGGGCAACAGAGTTGAGACTCCATCTCAAAAAAAAGAAAAACAGAAACTGATATATATTGACAAATATATTTGACTAGTAGGTGTACTTTCTGTGAAAAGAATACAAAAGCTCTTTTGAAACAATATAAAAGATCATCAATGGATAACTTTTTTTTTTTTTGAGTCTCATTCTATTTAAGTGATTCTCCTGCGTCAGTCTCCCGAGTAGCTGGGATTACAAGCATGTACCACCATGCCTGGTTAATTTTTTGTATTTTTAGTAGAGACAGGGTTCTGCCATGTTGGCCAGGCTGGTCCTGAACTCCTGACCTCTAGTGATCCACCTGCTTCAGCCTCCCAAAGTGCTGGGATTACAGATGTGAGCCACTGCACCCAGCAATAAATAACTTTTTTGAAGGAACTCTGTGATAAACCAGTCACTTTTGAATCTATTGCAATTTTCATCACTATCTCGTGGTCATGCTTGGAAGTTCTTTTTGCTTCATGGAAACTATATATTAGTCCTATATTTAATCATTAATTACAGAGTAGCTGAGGGAACATTTTCACAGAGAATGTAGTAATAAAGCAT